AATGACTTTTATAAATACTTTTGAAATATCGTTTTGATTATACAGTTTCCAACTAAATTTGAATAAACAGTGTTGCATAGTTATGAATAAAACAATTGAATCATAATCAAGTTAGTTTCAGGAAATAACGTTTCACCCTTTGTAAATTATAAGTTTGCCCTCAAAACAGAGTCATATACTCGTGATTTCCTTATTTTTTGATATTTTTTCTTTTTGTAGGTTATACTGAAACAAGCCCAAATAGTTTAGTATTGATAAACGCGGCCCAATCCACATATCCAACTCCCAGAACGACCTCATCCTATCCACCTATATTACCACATCCACAAACATCACCCGTTCCTACTTTACAACTTGACAGTTCAACCACCGTACCATCCAGCGGTAAGTACTATTTACTTGCTGTAAAATTTGAGTTCTGTGCGCACTGAAATAAGATATGCGAGATAAAATAATTCTTTTCGTATTTTTTGCGGTTTTCTTTGTTTGATAAGCAATTCATCAGAGATAATTTTACTTTCTCAAATTTTTTAGAAATTTATACCTTCCATTCTTATGTAGCATGCTCGCAACAACCCCAAAATATACAAAAAAAAATCCATTTGGAACCTCGAACTTATTGGTTTCTTAGGGCCCTTATTCTACTTATAAATAATACACCAATGTATTTATTAATTTATGTAAAAATCTGATTAAAGTTGGAGTCTCTTTAACGCTCACGAATGATCAAAGTAAAAGGGCAGACGGACAAGGTCGACGATAATATTGGCCAAATCGATCATAACGTAATTGGTTGTATATTTCAAGCAGAAGATATTCATAAAGCTAATTTAATGACCTGCATTTGAATTAAAGAAAAACTCAAATCCGGATATTGAATATCAAAAACGTAACAGTTAACAGTCTTCAAGGCATGTATGATCGAAAAACTCAAAAAATATTGAAATAAAATAAAATGTATTTCATTTAGAAATCTCCATAAAATACAAAATTATTATTTTTCAATCATTTTCTTTCTTGGCAATGAAACTCACATTCTAAAGATGTCAGAATAGTACAACAAGTCTTGAACATCATGCCATGTCATTGTAGTTCACGATCTAGTCTTAGAATTCCTAATGCCATGTGACACGTTATACTGGCAATCGAATTCTTCCATGTGTTTCAAGCTTCACGTGTCTTTTCTCCACGCGATTTTAAACACGAGTATACGACTATTAGAAATGGACATTTAAATTATCTTCATCTCGTGTCTATTCCACTGATCTATATATAGCTTTAATTCTATTTCTACACATGGTTAGTTTGATACGCAAATTATTACCATATATGTCATTTCTGTAATATCAACCTCTTGTTTTATTCTTCGCAAATATTGTGATTGATTAAAGGAATTAATGTAATTTGTTCATATGATAAATTAGATCGGTGGAAAAAATTCTTTTGACCGTAATCGACCAACGGTACGCGGCGTACTCTGTTTCTGATTTTCAGAGTCATGGTGAAAAACATTTTAAAATGCGTTGAAAGATTGGTGACGGAGCCAAATGGGGCAATCTCAGATATTTCGCCCCTCTCGGACGCCAACCTGGCTCCGCCACTGCATAGAGGTCAACAATGAGCTAATCTCGAAATGTCAAACTTACGAAAATGAGTTACATGTGGAATTTTGTGGACTAGAAGGGGCGATTCCTCCTATCATATCCACATGCTTTCCTCTTCTCACATGCTTTCCTCTTCTCACATGCTTTCCTCTTCTCACATGCTTTCCACGCCTGTGTCAGTATAATTTATGACCTAGAACATATCTTAGGTCCACGTGACATAAAGAATCATTTCCTATCTAGTAACGTAGCCTTCACTTGATAAACAACAATCGATATTATTTATTAGCCTATATTTCCTAATACACAATCTTCACAAACCCTGAGCTATATATTGAATATCTGGAACAAAGACATAGATATAAACTTTATCGATTTTTCCTTTTGCGGAAGTAAATAGAACGTTTAATTCTAAAGCGTCTGTATATTTCAAAGTATATTCCTTAGAGAGGAATATTCTGGAAGTCAATTACTTTAATGACACCATCTTTGATAGTAAAATCATAACACCATCTTTGATAGTAAAATCATAACACCATCTTTGATAGTAAAATCATAACACTAAAGTCGTTCGGGAACCAATTAAACTCAGTGTAAACACAACGCGTTCGACAAGAAAGCTGGCTTTAAGCCAACTTAGAGCTAGTTTTACTTTACAATTCTCAGTGGAAACGCGGTTTATAACGCTAGTTTTTTTAAATTTTAACACCATCTTCATAGTGAAAAAAGAACACCAACTTATTGTTAAATGAATATCACCTCATTGGTAAAAACACCACCTTGGTAGTAAACATTATAACGCCACCTTGATAGTAAAACCATAACACCATACACCACTTTGATAGTAAAATTATAACATAACCTTGGTAGCATCAATAAAACATACTCTTGATAGTAAAATTATAACAATACCTTAGTAATATTATACCACGAGTTACAATTGTATCATTACTATGATATTAAAATTATAACACCATCTTTATTGTGAATTCAGAACACCTATAACATCACTTGGTAGTAATAATTACAACACCACCTAGGTTATATCATTATAACATCAACTTGACAGAAGAATCATAATACTAATTTGATAGTAATATACTAGATTGACATTATTTTAAAAGCTGTAAGAGATAAAGGATTGCTACAATAAAACGTTATAAACTGAAAATATGACTATCACAGATATGAAATGAAAAAAGAAAAATAGGGATAAACATATAGATGGATAGATAAATAGATGAAATGCTAAGTAGTAAGTGATATTGTATCATTGTGAAGATTAATTTGATTAAGAACACAAAGATTATATGAATTTGATTGTTTACAGGTGTTTTAAGCCCAGCATCTACCAGTACTGATACAGAGAGTGCTCCGTCAGAGAACGATTCTACATTAGACGGTACGTCATATAGTTATAAACCTCTAACCGAGTGTGTCAACTCCACAGACCAGACGAGCTCGATTTCTTGCACATGAAAATAACCCTCATATGTAACTCAATTCTAACTACAACATCGAGTTTCCCGATAACAATTTTCGTCAGGTTGGAATTGTTGTCATTAATTTCACACGACGTAATAGAAAGTTCGTGGAAAATTCCAACTCAGAAGTCGCCATTAGCATACAACATTTTGTTCTTTAAATATTTCTATGAAATCTGTCATAAGCGTAACTGATTGAAATTTAAGGTTACATTGCAAAAGATACTTACTGCACCTCTCGGTGAAATTCACATTTGCCGCTAAAATTGGGGTCGTGGGCTTAAATAATATCCAAATTACGAATACTGGAAAGATGTGCCTTGTTATCACAAATTATATAATTTATTTGCAGACACGGAAATAGATATGCAGGAAGGAGTTCCTGGAAACAGAATAGAAAGATTTGATTATCCAGTAAATAATTATTATGATGAATCTATGAGATTGAAAGCAGCTGGTTTACTAAAGAAATCCGAGCCAGGTAAAAAAAACGGCGTAAAAGACTCTTTACATTGCATTTTACAGCTACCGTAATGATAAGAAAAACTTACCAAGTGTTCAATTATCAAAGACTGCCAAAATGTCATCTTTTTATGTATTCATGTGATCGTTTTCCATTCTCCAACACCACATTGGCGGAGTTTTTGTCATTTCCATGGCAATCTACGGGCGACATGTGCGTCACAACATACGGAAACTAACGACCTTGTCACTGTGCCATCCTCGGCGCCCAGAGGTATTGTGTATATATTTATATTAGTGCACGATTTTTGTCGCACAAAGCAAGGAAGCTGAAAAGGGTACTAGGCTACCTCTATGGACCAAATTAATTTTTAATTTTCGCTCAAAGTTGGCGAATAAGAGTATAGATTACTCAGTTGACTAACCTGGTGTCACAACTATACGATATAATCCCTGTATCATTCGATAAATCCATTAAATAAGGTTATTATTGAAAGAGTCTGCTAAGCATGTTTCATATCGTCGGGTGACCTGAGGATTTTTACGCTGTTAAATCTGATTCGATTTCCATAATCAATATGACGTCACAAAACAGCTAACCAGCTAAACCACCCTACCTCACCCCAAAAAGAATAAGTAAATGTTAAAATTTTATGCCCTTATTGCCTTGAGTATACATCTCGACTGACGTGTCGTAATGACAAACTGTCATAATATTTTGTATGTATAGATGACAGGTCAAAATAGTACATTAAAGGATTTCAACCCATTTATTTCTACCTTAGAAACGGAGTAAACATTTGAGACGCCATTACTAAAGCGGAAGTTATCAGAGTAGGCCATAACGACGCCTCAGAATCAATTTGCTCGATTATCGTACCGATTTGATTAGGTGCTAGGATACGGAGCCCCTAAGGCGCAATTGTAAACACATTTATTTATTATTTCGTTTAAACGAAATAATAAATAAATATGTTTACAATTGCGCCTTAGGGGCTCCGTACTAGGATAATTGCATTGTTTGCCATAATTGATTTCGATTTGATACAGGATAAATGTTTGTCAGGCGTAATCAAATCAGATTAACTTAGGATAAAAACAACTTGGATTACCTAGACGCCTTTTTCGCCTTAGAAAGCCGATTCACAGAGTTTTTTCAAACTCAAAATTTAGTCCTATTGAAAAATACACAAATTGAAGCTGTAGGACGAATGTAGATGTAGAATCCCTATAAAGGCAGGAATAACACAAGTCTGGTCGGGAAAAAAATCGTCACATTGCAGTAATGGCAATGCTTGTGCTTCATTTCTATCTTTTTGAGCAGTTCAAACTGATTCATAGCGACCACTACTTTTATAACTGTGTCTGACAGCCAAGAGGACTTCCCCAAACTTACTACTTTTAAAGCACGCAACATTTTACCCCCCAAAAAATTATTTATTTTGCAGATTGTCGTTTATTATGGGAATTCATCCATCAACTTCTGGTAGATAGTAAATATAAACATCTTGTCTGCTGGGAAAACACTAATGAATTAGTTTTCCGTATCGTAAACCCAACTGGACTTGCTGAATTGTGGGGCCATCAGAAAAATAGAACTAATATGACGTATGAAAAACTGTCTCGTGCCTTAAGATACTATTATAAAATGAATATAATTAGAAAAGTTCCTGGGAAAAGATTGACTTATAAGTAAGTAGGCCTAAAGAAATTGTTTGGCAGAACTGTCTTAAACCATACCTTTGATCGTGAAGGGATTCAAAGGCATCATCGTACTTTTTATGGAATATTTGGGCATCATGTTACGCTGTCTTTTATTGCTTAGGTATATTGGGGCATCGTTGTAGGCCTAGGCTACTTTGTTTCGGAATGAAAAAAAAACATGGTACTTTGTCTGGGATTATTAAAGGGATAACTATATCATTATGGGGGGAAGCACCCCCTCCCTTGTCTCAGATCACTGCAAATGGAGCTTAGAGCTTATTCTTGAAAATTATAAGGGCGAGGTTCTCCTGGGGTTCGAGATTCTCCCCAGGCCCGTAACTAGTCCCTGGTCCAACGGGGGGTCCAAATGTTGTCAAGGAGGGGCTCAACTATAATATTTCAAGCGATCTGATACCCGAGACAAGACATTTTCTGACTAAAAATCAGCCGCTAATTGCATGTAAAAATAAGTATTTCCACTTGAATCGTTTTTGAAATGCAAAGGAAACGAATTTTTGAAATCTATCATTTCAGTAGAGTTTAATTAATTTTGTGCACGCCCTCAGATGGAAGAAAACCCTTCTATAGCCGCCATTTTGTTTCTCATGAATGGAATGGACCATTCTATACACTACGTCATACAGAGAGTGATCGAGTTATTATTATACATCTATGCCTAAGATAAAGATATAAGAATGGAGTCTCATTTTCGTACTTCAAATGAATATTTTCTCAATTTTTCAGATTTTTACAGCATCCCAGCACAATACGAAAAGGTCAGCGAGGAGCTCGACCACATCCTAAGCCTAGTTTTAATCCATTGAATCAAGATGATAATCTTAGTAAACTGAATATTCCATTTCCAATTCCACGATTGCTTGTGGATCAGTCGCCATCCAAGGATCGTTCTGATCAATCCGTTCCAAATAGTCCTTTAAGCCGTTTATCAGATAGTTCACCACTGTCAAGGATATTTGATAATTCTCCATTATCAAGTCTACATTCCAGTTTCGCTGATATGAGATCGAATTCCTTTGGATATCATATGAGAAAACAAGCAGAACCTGAGCAAGATGAACCCGAGGATTTGTCCGTAAAAAGAGAACCAAGTGACACTCATGTTTATACACAGGAACCTCATTCTGTTGACAATCCATCATTAGTCGCTCAATTTGTTGATCCTGAACATGAAAAAGAAATAAAAATAGAAGTATCGAGCTAAATGTGCTGAATTCCGTTGTGTTTTTGGTATTGTTAGTGGTGTATGTACGTAATGTCACTTTGTGTACCAGTTTTGTTTGACAGTGGATGGATGCTCTGTTCTTTCTCCTTGAATGGCACAGGATACTTGACCCAATCTTTGAAAGGGATATGTGTCACACTATTGGTTTAGTTCCCCAATGGCATTATTTCAAATATAAATCTCTTTTTGCCTTTATGTCGCAAAGTAAATGTTGATAAAGCACTGTGTTTCTGTAAGTCAAGCGATGTTTAAGGTACATTTTCAACAAAAGTAAACCTTACTAGACAAGTAACGAAATGCGGAATTATGATAACAAACAAGACTTTGATCGTCGTCACTTCTAGAGATACATTTTTATCTAATTGTAGACGGAATTCTGATGTACTATCCTTAAAGGGATCCTACGTCTTAGAATACACTCGTCCTGTGGCTAATATTTCTGTTTAATATTGACCATTGGTTAAATAAGAATGCATCCCACACTTTATCAAGTTTGAAAAATCGACAATAAAACTATATTCAGAATTTTTTTTAAAAAAGTGAGCAAGAGATGAATCCAAATTTAAGCAAAATTAAAATTTTATGTTCATCCTAAGAGCTAGTATCCCTTTAAATGAAAATTTTAAGGACTAACATTACTAAATCATTTACTGTTAAACTAGCATCATTTTGTTTCATTAACCGAAAAACTTTGGATAGCGTTTGGAAAATATCGTTCATAGATATTCCGCAATGACTCATTCGAAGTTAATTTTAGATAATTTAAAACACATATAAAAGGAAAAAGAAAATAAGCGTATGTTTTTGGAAAAGACCTTAGCTAAACTTCAGATGTTTCAATGTTTCCAATTTTCTGTGATTCTCCGCACGAAATCAGTCTACAAATCAAATGTATTTGTAAGACGTGTATATGGTTTAGGGGTTCTCCGTAAAAAAAACCCAATCCATTCATATTTTCATTCATAATTACCAGAATTCATTTTAAGATTGTGTAAGTGTTTTAAAAATGTGTCTTTAATAATGTGTCTTTATGTATCTTAAAAGATACAAAGTTAATGAAAGGGCTATTTTAATATTAAAAATTGTTATTATACAGAATATATTTTGTTGATGTTTGTAAAATCTTGTTGAAGTATTTTGGTTGAATAAAATTGAAATTGTTTTGAATTAACTTTTCTTTCAATTATGCACTTCAGCTATTTAACTCCAACTGTTAGATAAAATCTTTAACTTGATATATGAAGTCTGTTTAAAGACCATTGTACGCCATGCACAAAAATCGCATAATCTCTTCAAATATACCTCAAACTATTGTTCTGTAAATGTCTTTTCTATATAACTAAATCTCAAGAAAAGAAGAGTCGTCTGACATCTTATGTTTTTTGACAGTGAGCTGTGAACACTATCAGTGATTAGCTTAGCTAGAACATTCCCGTTCGTGAGACTAAAGCACGATCGGTCAAGGTAGGTGGCGACTCTGACCCATTAAAAACATATTTTCCATTTTTTTGCGCCCAAAACTGCTGTTATTTTGAGTATCCGCCATGCATCGGATGAAGGCGTCTTGGAACAGATAAGTTAAGACAGCTTATGGCCAGTCACTTAAACCAAACTAGCTTATGAAATATAGAAATAACCTACTGTGTATATTGATTTATTTACAAATAATATATTACACAGGATTTGGACTAAGTCTGGAGTAATATGACATATAACATGGGAAACATAACATAAGAAATATAATAACAAAGAAACAAAAATACAACGTAACATCTGGAATAACATGCCAGCACATTTGAAATTTATTTGATCATTGATACATAAAGGATACTTCCAATCATTTGGCGCCGCAGCAGGCCTCAAAAATTACAAAATGCAAAGGCTTCGCTTTTCATTCATTACATTTCATTTTATTCTCATGCATAACATTTCATTCATTACATTTTTTCATCATTCATTGTATTTCATTGTCATTGATTAAATTTTATAATCTCTCATAACATTCTATTATCAATCATCACACTTTAACATGATTCATTTCACAGCACTATTTTAACATTATCTTTGTATTTCAGCATGAAAAATTACATAGCACTATTATTCATTACATTGCATCATCCGCATTCATTACATTTTATCTGATCACCATTTCATTTCATTAAATTATATCTGGTCATTATTCACTACATGATATCTGATCATCATTCATTATTTATGATCATCATTCATTACATTATTTATGATCATCATTCATTACATTATATCTGAAAATCATTCATTATATTACACCAGAAAAGAATTACATAATATCTGATCATCATTCATTACATATCTGATAATCATTTATTACCTTATATCTGGTAATCATTCATTACATAACATCAGATAATCATTTCTTACATAATATCTGATCATCATTTATCACATAATATCTGATAATCATTTATTACATAACATCAGACCATAACTCATTACATGATATCTGATCATCATTCATGACATTATATAGGATCCTCATTCATTATCATTCCCATAGACATGATCATTGCTTAAGCTAAGAACCATTTTAATAAATTTACTTTTAACTTTTTATATTATGAAGATCATTCAGACTGTGAGTTGTGAAAATGAATATACTACAAAGTTTAAAAAAATAATATACCATTTTCTAAAGCCATAATTTATTTCTTATATAATTTGCACAAAATGAATACAGGAAAAAAGTTTCAGTAACTCAACTGTTTAACTATGAAGTACAAAAATCTGATCAAATGTAAGCTCAATATTTGTAATCAGAAGTACTGAGGTGTGGCCAGAAAGGCAAGAAAAATAAAAACAAAGACTTGAAAAAATCATGTTGACCAAATATAGAAGTAACATTTCTGCCATTCAGGAAGATATTCTAGAAATGGTTCTGAAAAAAATAAACAAAATAAAAAAAAATTACAGCTAAAATACAAAAATTATTAGTTTTAAAAAAACAAATCTTTAGTCATTTTTACCATCAAATAGCCTCACAAATTCATTTGTGGTAACTAAAATAAAAAAAAACTTGCTCTTCTTTTAAATTGATAAAAAAAAAATGGTGAATGCTTCCATCCCAGTGAAATTTACACACTTTTTGGGATTGTCTCTCTACAATAGCCTAATTTGTAGCAGACAAAAGAAGGTAGAACTATACTTACTAATGAGAAGAGATATTCCAGGGATATTATCAGCAAATATTTTCAATAAAAAGATGATCTTGGCCCTGTAAATAAAGAATAAAAAACCGTTTTTCTTTTGGGGGGAGAGGAGGGGATTCTTTAGTGTATAAAAATAAGCATGCTTTTACTACAGTATATTCTACGGCAATTACGTCATACCAGACAGTACTATGTCTATGTTTCTCACATTGGACACACATGATAAACATAGTTGTTATTCATGTGTACAATGGCTGATATAAAAAAAAAATTTGTAATGAGAATAATTATGTAAAAGAACACTGATGCACCCTTTGATTGAACTTAATACTTACTGAGCAAAACGATCATAAAATGGCGAGCGCAGTAAATAGAATAATAACATGAACGTTCTCCTTCTGAGTTCACCTTTTTCATTCTCATTCAAATCATGTGGTTCACCCATCAAGCACAAACTATAAATAGACAAAATAAAATACAAAAAAAATTAAATGTAAACTACAAATAGACAAAGACATCCTGAATTATCAAATATATTTAACTAGCTATAACATAAACTATAAATAGACAAAAGATATCAGAAAATATCAAACATAACTATAACTAGAGAAATATATCAGAAAATATCACACATAACTATAACTAGAGAAAGATATCAGAAAACATCAAACATAATTATAACTAGAGAAACATATCAGAAAACATCAAACATAACTATAACTAGAGAACAATATCAGAAAATATCAAACATAACTATAACTAGAGAAATATATCAGAAAATATCAAACATAACAAACATAACTATAACTAGAGAAAGATATCAGAAAATATCAAACATTACAAACATAACTATAACTAGAGAAAGATATCAGAAAATATCAAACATAAGTATAACTAGAGAAATATATCAGAAAATATCAAACATAACTATAACTAGAGAAAGATATCAGAAAATATCAAACATAACAAACATAACTATAACTAGAGAAAGATATCAGAAAATATCAAACATTACAAACATAACTATAACTAGAGAAAGATATCAGAAAATATCAAACATAAGTATAACTAGAGAAATATATCAGAAAATATCAAACATAACTATAACTAGAGAAAGATATCAGACAATATCAAACATAACAAGCATAACTATAACCTGAGAAAGATGTCAGAAAATATCAAACATAACAAACATAACTATAACTTGAGAAAGATATCAGAAAATATCAAACATAACAAACATAACTATAACTAGAGAAATATATCAGAAAATATCAAACATAACTATAACTAGAGAAAGATATCAGGAAATATCAAACAACTATAACTAGAGAAAGATATCAGAAAATATCAAACATAACAAACATAACTATAACTAGAGAAAGATATCAGAAAATATCAAACATAACTATAACTAGAGAAAGATATCAGAAAATATCAAACATAACTATAACTAGAGAACAATATCAGAAAATATCAAACATAACTATAACTAGAGAAATATATCAGAAAATATCAAACATAACTATAACTAGAGAAAGATATCAGAAAATATCAAACATTACAAACATAACTATAACTAGAGAAAGATATCAGAAAATATCAAATATAACTATAACTAGAGAAATATATCAGAAAATATCAAACATAACTATAACTAGAGAAAGATATCAGAAAATATCAAACATAACTATAACTAGAGAAATATATCAGAAAATATCAAACATAACTATAACTAGAGAAAGATATCAGAAAATATCAAACATAACAAACATAACTATAACTCGAGAAAGATATCAGAAAATAACAAACATAACAAACATAACAAACATAACTATAACTCGAGAAAGATATCAGAAAATATCAAACATAACAAACATAACTATAACTAGAGAAAGATATCAGAAAATATCAAACATAACTATAACTCGAGAAAGATATCAGAAAATATCAAACATTAAAAACATAACTATAACTAGAGAAAGATATCAGAAAATATCAAACATAACTATAACTAGAGAAATATATCAGGAAATATCAAACATAACTATAACTGGAGAAAAATATCAGAAAATATCAAACATAAGCTTTACTAGAGAAAGATATCAGAAAATATCAAACATAACAAACATAACTATAACTCGAGAAAGATATCAGAAAATATCAAACATTACAAACATAACTATTACTAGAGAAAGATATCAGAAAATATCAAACATAACAAACATAACTATAACTAGAGAAAGATATCAGAAAATATCAAACATAACAAACATAACTATAACTAGAGAAATATATCAGGAAATATCAAACATAACTATAACTAGAGAAAAATATCAGAAAATATCAAACATAAGCTTTAATAGAGAAAGATATCAAATATCAACTATATATAAGATAAAAGGACATTAGAATATATGGGTGGTTTCTCGCAATTTCCTGTAAAGATAGCATGAAGTGATATTGACATGACAAATATTAATATCTCAAACTTTTAATCTAATTGAACACAAATTGGACATCAGATTTTTCATTGAAAAGTGATATGGATAACATGATCTGAAATCTATATCCCTGTTAGAATCAACAAAAAAAAAGTAATTTTTCCTTACCTAGAAATATCTAAACCACATGAAAGTAACCATGGTTTCCAAGACTGTGTTCCAGATTTATAAAGACTGGCCACTGAATATTTGTTCAGACAAAATAAGATAGAAATTAAAAGGAACAAAGTTAATTTTATCAGGCTCTTAATCTTCAATCATAATCAAAGTAAAATTGGATTAAACTTTAAATTTTATGATTATTTTTGTCTTGTTGTGGGTGAAATGTTATTTTCAAGTCAATGTCTGTTGGTAAACCTGAGTGCTAGCAAGGGCTGGATAAAATGCTCCAAATAATCGATTACCGTCTCTAGAAATTTATAATTCTGATTATCAATTATTAAATTACATAATCGATTATATGTGAAACTTACATTTTCTTCACTGTACCTGTTAACAAGTAGTAATCTCTTCAACCTAGGTTCCCTTCAGCAAATAACTTACAATAAATTATAATAACCCATCAAAGCAAAAATATACTTCTACGATGCAAAAATTACCCATGAAATCACGAATTTTGGCTTGTTTTTAAGCTAGTATTTACAGGGTTTCTCAATTGAATTATTTCGATTATTAATCAATTATTGATAAATAGTCTGCCATCGATAATCAGTCTCAATTTGGTAAGCAATACTCCGCCAGAGTGATAGCTGGTGCTGGTCTGAACCTACTACCCTGGTTGTAATCATTAATCAAAATCAGAGCCACTGGCAAGGACAACTGTAAAACTGTCACACAAAATTACCAAGAGGCACAAAAGTCAAATAATATTGTATGGACAGAAAATACGAAAATCTTTAGATGCAAAGGATACAGTGTACTAATGGTTTGACTATATGAAAACATTCTGCCCATACTCGATGTCTATTTAATGCACTTGGTTTCATCATTGTAGCTTTCTTCTTGATCTTTGGATGTAGATTCTCAATAGGCAATTTCCAATCTCTTAATTTGGAGGATGGAGCTGAAAAAAGGCAAATGAAAAACATCTATTGGTAGAATATTTTCCCTTCATTAATTCGATAAATTTTAGAGATACAAAAAGTCTTTTAATTATACTTTGGAAAAAAGAACAATCTTTAAATACACCAACAGTCTCCATTTCTATGGATTCTTCTATAACAATATTCATAATCTTCAGAATTTCCAGAAAACTGTCATCACCTTTGCTAGTTTTGTCAATGAACCACGCCTTAGATGTGTATTCTAAAGGCAAAATCATTAGTATTATTATGTCTGTTTGGAAACTAATAGGGCAATATCATTAGTATTATTATATCTGTTTGGAAACTAATAGGGCAATATCACTAGTATTACTATATCTGTTTGGAAACTAATAGGGCAATATCATTAGTATTATTAGATCTGTTTGGAAACTAATAAGGCAATATCATTAGTATTACTATATCTGTTTGGAAACTAATAGGGCAATATCACTAGTATTACTATATCTGTTTGGAAACTAATAAGGCAATATCATTAGTATTATTAGATCTGTTTGGAAACTAATAGGGCAATATCACTAGTATTACTATATCTGTTTGGAAACTAATAGGGCAATATCATTAGTATTATTAGATCTGTTTGGAAACTAATAGGGCAATATCATTAGTATTACTATATCTGTTTGGAAACTAATAGGGCAATATCATTAGTATTATTAGATCTGTTTGGAAACTAATAAGGCAATATCATTAGTATTACTATATCTGTTTGGAAACTAATAGGGCAATATCATTAGTATTATTATATATGTTTGGAAACTAATAGGGCAAAATCATTAATAGTATATCTGTTTAGAAACTAATAGGGCAATATCATTAGTATTATTATATATGTTTGGAAACTAATAGGGCAATATCATTAGTATTATTAGATCTGTTTGGAAACTAATAGGGCAATATCATTAGTTTTATGATATCTGTTTGGCAAATGAAAAGGAAAAGGTGTTGAAGCATAAATTAATGGTACGGTATCACAAGATAATGTCATTCTTGTTTTAATCAAGGGCAGTAGCTCTTATCTCTGTTAACTGCCAATTTGAATCTAAAATGCTCAATGAATTAAAAGTAAAAAAGTTAAAGATCAGAGTGAAGTCCTAACACTTCAAATTAACACTTCATTTTATACCTGATGCTAATTTTCTAATTGTTCTTCCTGACCTCATTAATGTGAACGTCATTCCAACATCTTTCTCATTATCAACTGGATCACTCTCACTTTCCTACAAAACATACATCACAAATATACAAACAGTTAGTTAAAGGTATACTACCTCTTAGGATGACCAAAAAATAATACAAATTTTTTAAACTTGGCCAAAATGAGTCATTCTTAATCAGTGGACTTACCTGGTGTCATAATTATACAAATCCATAAAACTTAGTAATCTTTCTTTAAACTAAGTAATTTTGAAACATGATTAGAAGAGTGTTTCAGTAATTATTTAGTTTATGGATATATATTCTAATATAGAGATTCTATTTTTTAGTCATGGGTCCTGGTAGAGGTAGTATTCCTTTAATAGAATAATCTGAGCCAGGGTCAGATTGAAAATTTTTATTTAATTAAGTACGCCAAATTTCAGTTTTGGCAAATCTAGTTAAATTTTGATTCGCATTACATAAAAATTTGGTAGTAATAAAAAAATGTTCACGTTGTACTTTTAGAAAATTCTCATGAAAATTTTACAATTTTATTTGCTCTTCGTCAAGATTAATTTTAATTTTGGCTAATAATAGAAAATATTGGATAACAAATTGGGTTATCTTGACTCGTAAACTGTGATGAGATACTTTTTAAATTGCACCCTGATCTGAGCTGTATATGACTTAATTGTGTACATCTGCTGAAAAATTAAAACTAATTTTCCCCTTGTATGCATGTGCCTAAAAATTACTTCTGCCACAGATCATGAACTAGACAACATCTATATTGAATAAAGTAATTATCATGCTTTTTAATATTTCTGCAAATGTAATTTTAGTAGCAAAATGTCTTTTTATTCCCCTTGAACTGGTAATCAAATTTAAATTTGCATATTCATTCAAAATAAAAGGCCACAAAAATTTATCTTCCAGATGAGAATTATCCATCTTGATATGGCTTGAAGTTAAGTATTTTTTTTCGATGTAATTTTGAGAACAAAAAAACATTGTCTTCTCTTGGAAATGCTTGTCGAAATTCTCATTAAAAAGGCAACAAAAATTTATTATGCCAGATGCCATTTATACACTATGACATAGCTCATGGCAAAGTATTTCCTCAAATGAAATTTCCAAAACTAAGTACATTGTCTTCTTCTAGAGCAGCTTGTTATGATATCAAGTTCTATGTATATATAAACCATACCTGTTTTTGTTTAAGTTTGACCACTGTATCTCTATTTAAAGGAGTTATAGGTGGAGTAGGTTGTATACCAGCATTATATCTTCCTAATAGTACAAATCGAAATACTGCTCTGGAAAATAACAAAGGGGCTTGCAATTTTAATTAACATTAAAATTTGTATCATATGATACTACCTGTTGTACTTTGCATAGAAATAAGAAACACAAACTGTGTGACTGACATCTAAATCACTATGCCATTCATAGATATTTCATAGCACATGCACATGGGTTTTTTTATCGGCTGCATGTCCACAAATTCTAAAAGATAGTGGACCACAGCCATATACGCCCACCACGGCATGCGGATGGTAAATATTGAAGATTTTGGGGCAAGGGCAATAACTCTGCTTCTAACGGTCAAAAATAGCTCAAATTCGAACTTGATCTTCGTTTTATGAATATGTATACACATACCGAATTTCATTTGGTTCAATCAAAAAATCTAGTTTTTAGAGCGTTTTCAATCAAATTATGACAAACGGACTGACCGACTGGGGTGCCAACAATATACATCCACATAGAGAGATGTGGGTGTATAAAAACCAAAAATATCTGTTTAACTTTGAATCAGCCAAACCACAAAATAGTCTGTGATTATACAAGATAAAGATAGCCACATATTAAGAAGTCAGAGTCAACAATTGATTTTCCACAGAAATCACACAAACAACGTTGTGCTTTTGTAAGGTGTTTTTGTGTCGAAAACAATCTTTAAATGCAAACGGTTGAAATATAATTAAAACACTACTTTCAAAAGTAGAAAAAGGTGTTTCATTTATCAAGCATTTAACATATGGGTCACTTAGTTTATGAACTGCTTCTGGTCATTAGGAAAGGCACTAATTGTCTCAGCAAATTAAAAAGTTTTTTTTAATTTTTTCTATATTTTTTAAAGAAAATTTGGAATGTCTTTGAGTTGATAAAAATATCATTTTTTGTAAGTTTACATTCAAAAGAAACACATTTCCCCAATAGAAATTTTAACAACAAAAAGTCCAAAATTTTGACTCAAAATTGTCGTCTGTAAAAACAAGTTTTGAAGACATTATAAATGTGTGCTCATGTTTATATTTTTATCAACGCAAAAACATTATAAGATAAACACTACTATTTTCAGGCTGTCATTCCGCTTCTCATAAAAATAATAGAAAAAATCATTGGGAAGCGTTCATAAACTTTGGCAATTGTTCGCAAAAAATTCTCTAAAATATTCATTTCAACATTCGCTGAAATTTAGGAAGCACTTAATAAATTGACAGAACTTCCTAAGAAGGTGGAGAATGGCTAGTGAACTTTTCAAATTTGCGACCAACGCTTATGAAGACACTGCGAATGATGCAAAGTTTGAGCTATTGTAAAATATTTCCATTCTTAAGCACATTTGCTAGCATATTCACCACAATGTGAGACCAGAGGGACATTGTATTATAAAAATTATAAAAACACTTACTTGATTATTTGAATGGCTGTGATGACTATCCATCTACCAGTTGCTCCAGCCATTCGCAATGCAGCCATTTCAACAAATACTTCAATATATTCTATAACTGTTAAAAATCTCATCATACGTTCCAGAGACATTGGCTGAAATGTAATAAACTCTCTAATAACATATAAAAAATTTTCTTTTTAAATCATTCAAAGCATCTTCATAAACTCAAGACATTCTTAGACTCTCAATACTATATTTTGTAGTCGATATTTAGATTCATACAGAATTAGATGGTGAAAATGCCATTCTGTAAAGCTTGGTGTCAGACAATAGTGATAATATCCTTCTGTTGGTTACCCATTGTCTTAGCAACTCAAGACACATTGATGAATCAACATACAATACTGGTAATAAATACACCTACAGTGATCTGGTCAAACTTTGCTGCTCCTTTCAATATGGCATCATTCAACAGAACCAGAAGATTTGATGCCGAAAACATGAGCTCTGATATAACTTGAGAATCGTGGAATCTGCCTGGAATCGAATGCAATTCAAGATTGATAAAAAAAACAGTAAATTCCATGAAAGTTTCATATTAAAATTTGTTAAAACACATGGAGTGTTTAATATAAATGCATTGTGACTTAAGATGTTATACATATATATGTCTTTTGCTAGAAACTCCTGAAAAATTATGATATAGGAATTGTTTTAAATAGGGAAGGTTAAGGTAAGATGAGTTCCCTTCAGACATTTTGCTTCCTGATACCGTACTGATAATCATAATTGATGTATGCTACATAACTTGTTTATCTAACCTAAAAGAATACCAATTTTTCCAGATGTAAGTTTACTTGGGAATATATATTGGCAACATCTAAATACATTAGGATGGGATATTTCCCCTTGGGTTAAGATGAGCTCATGGCCTATTTTACCAATACAGTTTACTCTACAACTTCTAGCTTTTCATGTTTGACATGACTATGATTTAAAATGAAGAGACAAATGTCATGATCCAACCAATAACCGCAGATCATATCATAAACTCGAGCCAAAAAATTTCAACCCTCAAAAAAATGGTTATGGCCCTTTTTCAAAATCCCAAACATGATCTTTATTATTGAGGTTCTAGACATCAAATCAATTTCTTCTATATTCACAGTAAAACTGACGGGTAGGAGCCTGCCTTGAAATGGATTTTCTGATCATAGACATGGGGGAAAGATTGAGAAACAAATGCTAAGGAGGCTGCATGCTTACACTCCCACTATAAAATAAGACAGCATTGGTTCTTCCAATGGCAGTAATTCAAGATGTTGAATGTGGATGTATCATTCATTCAACCAATTCATTGATATGATGATTGTTCAGCCTATGATCAGCCTATCTATGATCAGCCTATGCCGATATGAATAAGAGTAACTACACCGAATATATTCTTTTTTCATACCTGCAATGACATACGACAACAATCTGAAGGCAGATTCTATTTGTCCAACTGTGTCAGGGTTGTCACTCACAGTCTTTTTGTATTTTTCACACAAATTTCTCAACATTTCAGCCATTTTGGTAAACAACGTGGTCTGGATAATCTGGACTTTGATCTACTTTCGATTTCATTTCTGCCTTTCGAGTTTTGGATTGGATGAAAAAATGGTCACCAGCCAATCAAATAGATATCATCTCTTTTGATAAGGGAGATAAGTCCTCCTTAATGATGCTGAACCAGACTACTGCTGTTTCTTCAATATTGAAAGCCATTTTTTGACTTCCTGTTCTCACGAATGTTTTTGATCAAAACATTTGACTTTCTACTCGGAAAGCTTAAAAGTTTGATTAGAGGGTATTTAAATTTCAACTTGACCTGTTATAATTCTGTTCTTAAGCACCTTTTGCACCGACCAAACTGTAGTTTATGAAGGGAAGATGTTTCAAAATCCTGAGGTTAAGGCAAATACTTTGGCAGTGGAATTTTTCTTAAAGCGGCCCATACACGATCAATAATGAACTTACGTCCACGCTCTAGAAACCATTGTTTTGCCCAAATCCTTCGTCTGCTCCGTTTTCTACGTCTAGAAGCAAATATCAACGCGATAGCGATCGATACATCCATTCTGGTCGAAGTTTAAAGTAGAAATGATGCACTTTTGCTCAATACTATTGTGCTTAACATTTTCAAAATTAAGCTAGCACTACTTAGGCCTACAGTCAACCTTTGCAGTCTCATGATCAGTACACCAAATTGTCAACTTTTAGAAGAAGAAAAAAACAAAGTCTGTATAAAGAGTTACCCACCTTGCACTAATCCTAACAAGATAGTATTAGGTTTTTCGCGTAATAGAATTTGGTATTTGGAACAAGAAGATAAATCTATCTAGAATTATCATGTGCAAAGATCGCAATAAGTATTCATTAGATTGGTTTTGTACTTTCTTTTATCTCTTTAACTCTTTAAAAATAACTATCCTTATACAGGAATCTACAGGTGTTTGAAGTATCTCACCGAATGATAGTAGATTTAAATATTTCTTGAGAATCAAAATCAAGATTCCACAGAAACATAGTTAAGCAGGTAACACCAAAACAAATTTTCCTATCGGAATCATCCCTTAATCATTTATATAGTAAAATTATTGTTCCGTTAAGCGAGGTACGTAACCGTCGAAAATCTAATTGGGGTGAAACGTTGAATAAATAAAGTCTCTCGCGGCAAGACATATATGAGACACCGATTGGAATATATATGAGAACTTCCTCGCTGGAGGTCGGGTATTAACTTTGAAATCGCTATTACTTGACACACAAACTTCCATGTCATGTAGGAAGTTTTACGGTCGTTAAGGAAAACTCTCTTATAAATACAATATCAGTTTGACCATTGTAGTAGTGGTGGTTGTCGTGCGCGAAGCAGATCTTGTTAATTCTTTACGAAACACCTGATGGTACTTCTTTTTAGAGGAGTCAACAACTGTACTACCTTTACTCTCGATTTTGCCATTCTTTCAGGATGAGATTTGTGACTGACGGAATTAATTTGCATGTACGGATTTTCTTTTTATAAAGACCGAAATATCTTGTCTTGTTGAACCTATTTTGCAGTTGGAGCTTGTGACTGGCATTTTATGAAAACAACTGTATTTTCAACGATGGATTCGATGGGATACTTTGAATCGCCTGTCTAGCAAAGCAAAACTCCTAACCTAGCCCTATTACTGAAAATCGCATATTTCAAAAGAAGTTTGTTTTTCATTATCGGAACTTCAACCGAACACAACACGTGAGTATGTCTCAAACCAAATTGGTGATTCTGCACTCTGATCACTGTGATTTCTAAATAAAGTGATATTTAGTAGCTTATCAATATGTCATACACGTTCCATATAACCATCAATCAATATTATTGACTTAATATATTGATATCAATACTATTAGCAGAAAATGCCCACACACGATTTAGTATTTCCATCAATAATGCAATCATTTCTTAAGTTATTGTTCTTCTTGTTTTAAGTGGCCCATACACGATCAATTATATTGCACAATTTAATTGTCAATACCAGGAATTGACAATTAAATTGACCGTGTATGGTCAATATTGACGATTGTACAATTGTATTGAGTAAATTAAAATCTGTTTGATATTTTATAGCGCAAGTCTGCTTGCTAGTGCAATATAATTGATCGTGTATAATGGATTCTGAAAATATTGACGCATTATATTGACGGATACTCCATATACGATCAATATTGAGTTTCTATAATTGACGCTCTTGCACTATATTGATTAATCGTCAATAAAAAACAACCAAGTTTTGATCCGTCAATACATTGACTCACAATGATGGTTATTGACAATATGTTTCATCAATATAGGACACACACTAATAATATCGAGTCGATAAAATTGATGGTTTTACGTAACGTGTATGTGACCGTTTTACACTCAGAGTAACCACGGCTTCACAGCATTGCCAATGAGAACCACATTGGCTAGAAAGAGTAAGTTTGGTCTATAAAATCGACGATTTGTTTCCTGCTAAACGAAACGTAAGACATGAAGAATGTTGGATATGAGTTGGAAGTAAAGATAAGATAAGGAAAATATTCTGACCAAAAACACAAAATACGGGATAAGATCATGATCTATCTCTGTTAATCTCTTTATTATAGAAACACCAATATGTCTGTCAATACTTCCTGTCAACTTGCTATAAATTATCTCCCTTTATTCTACCAGACGATACTTTTAACATCTGCTCTTCTGATTATTTGTAGATGTAAATATATTTAGAAATTGAGAAAGCGTATGTGTCAGACCCCATGGATCTTCTACTCAGAATGTGGACAAAAACTTTGCACATTGCAATTTAAGCATAGCCTAAGGTACAACGATTGTGCTTGCGACCATGCAGAGGAAAAGGCCCACAAGAATTGTTTTTCTGTGTGAAATTAATAGGCCTACAAATGAAAACAATTTATGGATGATTGAAAACTAATTTCTCTATGGTCATAGTTTTGATTTTGAAATCGTCTGAAACAGATCATATTCACTATATTACCTATAGCTTCTTCGATTTGAAATACTGATTATTGTAGCACATTTGCGATCTTACTGCGACTGGATATGTACTATTTATAGGTCGCGTTCAAAAAAGTCCCAAAAAAAAAAACGCCATGACTCGGCGAATAGAGGCGACACTTGCGACATTTTCACAATGCCATGCGTGTCCATTGCCCGTTGCAGTAGCTGTAAGAAAGCCTTTCCGGTGTGACGGGGCCATAAATTAGGAATCTTCACTGCTAGAAATAATGTCGAATCTACAATCTAATTCGACCAAGGATTAATTCTGCCCCTTGGGGAGGTGTTCAGATCTGGTTGAGCACGGGGAAAATATAATTAGGCAAATAATTCGTGTTTAAATATAATAATTTTATTCGACCAAGGATTAATTTAAGTATCCTTTGGCGGTTGGAAATTGAAAGAGAAAAAACTAATTCCGCTGTCTTGGTAATATTGTCCCAATTGCACACTGTACGGGAGCAGTGACGATGTAAAACACAATTCCATTTCGTTTTTCTTTTGCAACATTTGTGTATGTGCAAATGTATGTTGAGATTTACATAGCAGGAAACCCTTTGTCTGTGATTATATCGTTAAATTGAAAGGTGTATTTTTTCTCGAGAAAACTTAGGAATGATTCAGTAGATTTGACAAATCTCTTGGACTTCTTTAGCGGAAAACGACGATAATTCGGAAATGAGACAGAGAATATAGGCATAATGTATATTTTCATTTTGTCGAAATATTGACCTGAAATAAAAATAACAACTGGAGTTAAATTATGAAAAATTCAAAATCTTCAATTTACTGGAATGTTTACTCAATTTTGTTCATATTTCTAAAAGTATGGGGATTAAAGAACAACTTGTTCTGCTTAGGACACTTTGGTATAGATTCCTTCAGCCCATGCGACGAAAGCATTCTTTTAGCCTTCGCTTGTAATGCAATTGTAGGCTACCTTTACTTTCCCAAGTTACTATCAGATCACATCTGCTAAAGAGATATACCCTAGGCCTACAGGATATGGTTGGTAGCAATTTCAGGTAACATTCCATAAACAAATGACTCGACGAAATATCCACACTTTACAAATACCATTTGTTACTTTTAATTGTTTCACCACCTACTGCAATGTGATAATTTGACACGTGATCGCTTCTGACAAAACTTCAAAACAGCTTGATCTGTCTTCTTTGGAATGACCCTTTTTTAAGAAAAGAAATAGTAATTGATTGGTCTGCAAGCTTGCCAAAACTGAATTTCAATTTTAACCCAATAGAGCCTCGAATGGGTTGTAAATTAGAATAAGAATTAAAATATGGCGCCAAAATTGACCTTGCAATTGACATTGTTGATTATTAAATTTCCTATAGACCATTGAAACGAAACACTGACGGAATTTGAAGAATTATTCAGCGACATTTAAATTATGGAGAATTTCTTTCACAAAAATTAAAACTTCATTCTCATTTTTCTTTCATTTTGTGAAAAAATAATGCCATCATATTAACATCATTAACTGCCCATTTCAATCATTACGATTTGATAAATTCGGATACTCTTGTGTATATACTTAAACAAAGTTTTCTTTTAAGGAGTCAGCTTGTATTAACAGCAAAGGTAAAATATTATCTTATGTTAATTTTTTATGATACAAATAATATACAAAAACTACAAATAAATACCACTACACTACACTACTATATTTTACTATATACAATACAATATCTATTTTCCTCAAAATAAGAACACAATATTTTGACGATATACAAAATTATACAAAACAATTCATTCTATATTGCAAACTTCAAAATAATACCATTATAAGCAATATTCTACCACTAAAAGGACTTATTCAAAAGAGATTAAATTTAAACTAAACCCGGGAAAAATTGTTTATTTATTCTTTTTGGAAATTGAATATTTCAATCTGCATTGTATATATTTGACTAAATTTCTAACAAATGTAAATTAAATCTATTTGACCTGCTGCATATATTTTGA